TTTTTTTTTCTAAGAACTGAACTCAGCTGATTTCAAATGGTTTTGGACTTAATAGTTAAGTTTAAAAGTTAAAAAATCAATAATATTGTAAAATATATGATACTTGAGTACGAAGAAAAATATATAAAGATAAGGTGAGACAATGGAATAAGAATGGAGGAGAAAGTATGCTTTCTATTTCCCCATTTCCATTTTTCACTTCGTACTTTTATACAGCAGCAGTCTATATATATATGCTAAATGATAATGAATATTACATAAGTTTAATGAATAAATTTAACTTCATAATTTTATACAAAGTCAACCTATATATATATATGCTAAATGATAATAAAAACTATATAAATTTAATGGATAAATTTAATTAAATTCATAAATAAAATTTAGTTAAAATATTGAATCTTTACCAGTTTTGCAATTCATGAATATAGTGGTTCTTTGACTATAATTAGTGGAATTTTAAATGATGTTAAGTGAATATAGATGATGGAAGATGATAGGTAAAATGTATAAGATGAAACATCTATTTATTGCATAATTTATAACACTCGCACTGGTATGCTTCATTCCTTCAAAGAAATTTTCTCTTTTTTATAAGATCTTGATTCCCTTCCATATTCGAATTATATAAACCATGATTTTAAGAGGTCATAGCAAATATTAGAGGCTTGATTTTTCAAGGACAGAAATGAATTATTATCTTACGATCTCATAATAACAAATATTTGGAGTCTGATTTCTCATGGACAACAATCCCAAATTTTAAGATTTCTCATAATAGCTATAAAAGTTCCAAAATTATTAGTATAATATATGAATTTAAAAAATTATGAAAATATATTGGAGATAATAAAAGATAAAGTTAAAAATTTTATCAAAATGTCTTTTTTTAATGATCTTACCTAAAAAATTTGTTGTCTTAAATTGATCACAAAAATAGATTACATAAAAACAATACATGTTGATAATATATTATAAAATAAATAATACTTAAGTATGAAGAAATAAGATTATATAAAAATAAATTAAAACGATGAGATAAGAAGAGAGGTCATTTCCGTTTCCACTTGATAGTTTCATACAATATCAGCTTATTTATAAACTAAATGATAATTAATATTTTTTTTCCCAACCCAAACGCATCAGAAGTATTTAAGTTCTAAGCAAGACGAACGACTTTTTAAGCATTTTTAAAGTGCTTATTATTTATTAACTTTTACGTACATTAAAAAAAAAAAAAGTAGTGCCCCTCAATTTTGAGAAATTTCTTTATAAATACTTGAAATGTTAAGAATGACATATTTCCTTCTAAAAAGGTTGAGAGAAAAAATATTACTCCCTATGTTTAAAAATAGTTGTGGTTTTTTAAATATTTTTATAAATTAAATATTTAAGATAATTTATGTATTTATTTATATTATTTAGAAAATTACTATTCCTGTTAAGAATTAATTAAATTAAATAAATAATGATATAGTTGGGTAAAAAAATAAAATATTTATTTAGATTTAAAAATAAAAAATAATGATTAATTTGAAAAAATTTAAAATTTAAAATAATTATTATTGTGAACCGCCCATGTGAACATTGTAATGGGTTGTAAGGCCATGTGGCTCCATTTCTATCCTGGCGGGTTTCAGCATCTCCGATGCAATGTGGTAATGTTGTTGCTCACGAATTTGCAGGGAGAGCCTTACAAGCAGAAGACGATCAGTGGTTCTTCGGTTGAGAAGTTCCTGATTATATTGTGCATCCTGTAATACTCTATCTAGCTTTATAATTTTTCCTGTTTCATAACGATAAAATGCGCTTAATATCTAATATTTCAAGAAGAAAAACAAACAAACAAACAAACTCGTACGGGCAACTGGCTTCACTGTATTATTGGACTTGGCAATAATTCACCACTTCCCTGTAGATATGCTTATCTTGCAGTACCATTGCTTTTACCTTCGGTATATTTTCTTTCAAAAATAAAGTTGCGCCTTGGATTCCATTGAGTACCACTTTCTGTAGTACGTACGATTTTATTTTGCGCCAGAGATTTGTCTATGTCATGAGGTCTGCTGCCATCTGTGAGCCAGGTACTGTTTTTGTAGCTATGTGATGAATCTAATTTTAGAAGAAAAAACAAAAGGAAAAATATAAAGACGCGTAGGGGCAGCGGGCCTCAATGCATTATTGGACTTGACAATAATTGACCACCTCCCGTTAAAGATAAAAATTTGCCTTGGGATTCTGTCGGGTAACAAATTTTCTGTACGCACCATTTTTTTTTGCCACAGAGATTTGTCTATCTCATGGGGTCCACCATTTATCAACCAGCAATTAATATACTGTTTTTAGGAGAGTGCGGCCAAAATTTGTAACTGAAAATAATTTGAATCGATCGAAATTATAATGATTAAACGTCAATTTTAGTGTTTTAATTTAAAATTTTTATATAATTTTAAGATTTTAATTTTTTATATTTTTTTAATCTTTTAATTATCAAAAATATATTTTTAATTTTTATTAATTAATCTATTAAAATTATTTAAACATATATTTTTAATATCTGAATTTAAAATTTAAGGATACAAAATATGTATTATAAATTAAAAGAACAAAAATATACATATTTATGTAAATTTAATGAAATAATTGATAAAAAAATTAAAAAATATATTTTTATTATTGAAAGACAAAAATTGAATAAAACTTTAAAATTTAAATACCAAAATTAATATTTAACTAATTACAAATCGAGAGGTTGCATTCGAATAAGTTCTAGGTTTTTTTTACCAAGAATTGAACCCAACTGATCTCAAATGGTTTAGAATTTAATGGTTAAATTTAAAAATTTAAAAATCAATAATATTATAAACTAAGTGATACTTGAGTAAAAAAAAGATTATATAAGGATGAGGTAAAGACAATGAAGTATGCTTTCTGTTTTCCATTTCCATTTTTACTTCATAGTTTTATACAATGCCAATTTATATATATATATAAAATAATAATAAATATTAAATAAATTTAATCAATAGA